GCAGCCGGATTCGGATTCAGCGCGAAAAATTACGTAAGAAAACATAGTTAAATCCCAATCAACAAAACCATGCAGGCCTGTGTAATTTATTAAGACCGTATATGTGAATGCACAACAAGTAAGATTAATATTATTAATTGCTCAAACTAATATTATTAAATCAATATTACTAATTGCTTGTCGATAATTTGTGATATTACTATTATAGCTCTGTTAAAATAATGATTCAAGATTGAAAATTAAATTCGGCGAGTAGTATTTGATATGTGTAAAATTTATACCAAATTATTTAAGTACTAAAAAATTTAATTTGACTGTTTAAAGTTTTCATTTCTTAATTGTTGCGTATTCACATTACAGTTTTAAAAGATACTTTATTAATGTTATTTTTAGATAACTGAAAATGATATCGACAAAGTGGGACCGTTCAGACAACAAGCTGCTGCTGTCGGAAATATGAAACGGAATGCTCTTGAACGTTTAGGAAAAACAGAAAGTTACTTAGAGGAATTACAATCACGATTAAAAGAGAAACAGGATTATTCAAAGACTTTATTGGAGACGTCAATACCTAGAGCAGAAGAATTAAAAAAATATATCAATCGTTTAAAGACTAAGAGTACATTATATAAACGTTGCAAAGCGGAGAGAGCTGGGTTAAAAGCTGAAAGTGGCGTACTTCAACGAACAGTAACTATTCTTGACGAACAGGTATTGGAACATACAATTTATAGAATTTCTTAAACTACAAGTAAATCGATATAATAAATATGTATATGCGATTTGTATTATGATTTCAGATAATTCATTCTTATTCAGTGAATATCACACCTAAAGTAATAATTCCAGAAAATTATACACTAAATAACGCATTAGCGACAAGTACTCAGTTGTCTCATTCGATATTGACTCTGCGAACCAATCTTGCCCCGGTCATAAAAGGTAATATAACAAGGTTCTATTTATACAAATAAATAATGTTTATTAAATGTTATTAAACATGGGCGCCGACTATAGGGGGGGGGGGGAGATAATTTTTTGCCCCCTTAATAGTTTTTACTTTTTGGTATTAACAAAAATTTTTTAACAATTGCAAATAATTTCTACGATCAAAACTGCGAGAAAGCGTCTGCGACGTGACATACGCTATATATAACGTTGACACGACGAATTAAAATTAGCGACGCTGGCACGTCATCTGCTGTCCTATGGCGCTTTCCAACAAGAGACACACATGATACGGTGTGACATTGTATCATTACATTCTTACAAAGTCCTATATATGAGAAAAACGGAATCGCGTCGCGATTTCTGATTGGTGATATCTCTACCTAATTAAAGCAGCCACATTGAGCCCGTAGTGGAAAGCTATACATATGTCTCCTTTTTACAGCTGAAGGGCCCATATTTATAAACCTATCTAAAATAAAACAAATATGTTTGATATTTGATAAAAGCGAGGGTGAAAATTTTAGAGTAATCCAGTGCAACAGTAAGAAATAAATCTATATTTATAAATAATGATATAAATACGGCTCTGAAAATAAATCTAATAAAAAAGGAGACAAATATTACGAATAGAGAGCCAACGTGGTTAACGATGCGCAAAAAAATTTTTTTGTTTAACTAAAGTGCATACGGTCGACTAACGATTTTGGTCCTTTTCAATGCAACTACATAAATAAAAACCTATTCCTGATATATAATATAAATAAATGTCCTAAAGATACTGTTACGTCCAGGCCCCAACATTCTTTTATTTTAGTGGAAAGAAGGAATTAGGAGGGGGCCAAGGAAGGACGGAACTGACACCGTTCTTATGGTTATCGCTCTGAGGCGGGTGCCACAAGTCGGAAGCACTTGATTAGGTCCCAGATATGGGTCAACGTCATTATGCGACGCTATTACCCAATCCGAGATTGTGCATCCGTCGGTCCTCTTTTAGATTAAGGATGAAATATAACATGACAAATAATGATACAGGAATATAGAATTTTCTATATTCCTGTATCGTTTTTGTCATATAGCTTCTGTATCGTTTCTAATCGATTTATAGCTGATAATTACATTTTAACAAAATTAATAGTATTCTATCGTGTTTTTGTGGTTCGTAAAATTCAGATTATTTATTTGAAATATCTGACAGATTTTCTATATTCCTATATCGTTTTTGTCATATAGCTTTTGTATCGTTTTTAATCAATTTCAACATGGTTATGTTTTATCAAAATTAATAATATTGTATAGCGTTTCAAATTTCATATTATTTTTAAAAAAAGTTTTTTATAATAATTAAAATACATTCGTATAACAAATCAAACTAACCAAGACTCCTTATAAATCAAAGAATTGGAAAGAACTACGGGCTTTAGGAGTCAGGCGCAGAAGACGTCGCGCAAATAATACACTTATGAAGCTTGAAACTTCTTTATTTAACAAACGCACTGAAAGAAAAGATTTTGTTATAAGAACAAATCAATGGAAAGCAAATGTGATATTTGTTAAAAAAACAATCGATTTGTTATGATTGTAAATTAATTCGTCAATGTAACAAATAATCAATAGTATCGCTAGCAAATAAGAGGCTCATATACATATATATAAAAGTCGTAGACGGTTGCAGGGTCTCAAATCGTAAGAAATTGATTAATCCTAGTCAAGTATTCTCCCTATATTTGACTGTGCTTGATCGGTTTCTTACAACTTAAGACTCCACGATCATCTACGAATTCTATGTAAATGAGCTAAAGTCTATCCAAAAGATAGGTTAGATTCTATATAGTTTGTTTCTATTACTAATAATTGGTTGGTATAGCAGACTAGCAGCAATCACAACAACATAATTTGTTGTTACATATTTACCGATCACCGGTTAAAGGTACTGGTGGCTTGCTAAATTAACAAAATCCTTTCTCTCAGTGCGCGCTTACATGTTTCGACTCATTTTTAAGCCTTCCTTAGAGCAAACACTAACTAACATATATAAAGTAAAAGTTATCCTGTCATGGTGAGCTCCCCTACACCGAGAATTTAAATGCCAGAATCAAGTAAAAAGAAAGAAAAGGAAAATAAAAAGAAGGGAAATATTAAAAAGGTCGAATTAAAGAATACAGAAACTAATTTATCAAAAAACTTTAATAATATGATTAATTATCCCGAAAATAGGGACGATCACCACGATTACAAAGTACCGTATCGCAAATATTATCATGAATCATTCAAGAACCGGTTCCTGATATGTTGGCCAGTCGGTATCAGACACAGTGAGTCACTTTTTAGTTATTAGATAATATTAATGAAAACTGTAAAGTGATAAAAAATCTCGTTAGGACTTATTACTGTGTACGAACGACACCGACTGACAAGACGTGACAAAAATTCGAGCTTTTATAATTTATCTACTACATGGGCTGAAAAGTCGGGGGATTTTTGGAAATTGATGAAAACAAGCGTTTTTGGGGCAAAATTACATTTATTCCTCAACATAGTTGCCTTCGAGAGCGATACACATGGTATAGCGATTTTCCAACATTTCGATGCACTTTCTGTAGTACGAAACGTCAAAGCTTTCAAAATACGCCTCGGTTTCCGCGATAACTTCCTAATTCGATCTGAATCTCTTTCTCTGGAGCCACCGCTTGAGGTTTGGGAACAGATAATAGTCGCTGGGGACCAAGTCTGGAAAATATGGTGGGTGAGCAACCAATTCGAATCGTAATTGGTCCAATTTGGCTATCGCTTTCAAGGACGTGTGAAACGATGCGTTATCGTAATGGTACAGAACTTTTTTCTTCGCTATATGGGGCCGTTTTTTCTTTATTTCGTCGTTCAGTTTGTCCAATAACGCTGCATAATACTCTCCCGTAACTGTTCTTCCCTTCTGCAGGTAATCGATGAAGATTTTGCCATGCGCATCCCAAAAAACGGAGGCCATAACCTTCCCGGTCGAGCGTTGGTCTTTTGCCCGCTTTGGTCGGCTTTCGTGGCTTTTCAGCCACTCTACAGACTGCCTATTGGACTCAGGCGTATGGTAATGGACCCACGTTTCATCCATCGTCACAAAACGTCGAAAAAAGTCCGCTCGATTACGACAACGCTAAACCGGCCGTTGAATCATCGACGCGCTGCTGTTTTTGGTCGACGGTCAGCAAACGCGGCACCCATCGCGCCGATAGCTTTTTCATCTCCAAAAGATCGTGCAAAATGTATCCCGCCCGTTCTTTTGAGATGCCCACGGCTTCAGCTAACTCGCGCAACTTCACTTTACGATCACTCAAAACGATTCGATGCACTTGCTTTTCGATTTCCGCATTCGTAGTCTCTTTTGGCCTTCCAGAGCGAGGTGCGTCTTCGACGTGCTTGTATGACCAATTTTAAATTCACTAAACCATCGATAAACTATTGTTCTCGAAGGAGCAGATGTGGGATAACATTTCTGCAACCAATGCAATGATTGTTCAGAAGTTTTTCCCATCAAAAAACAATGTTTGTTCAAGATGCGATATTCCTGTTTTTCCATTTTTTTTACGAAGGCGAAAGTAGCGTCACTCAAACGACTGTAAACGAATGGACGAAATGTCATGAAACTTCATACATAAACTAGTGACGGATGAGCCTCTCGAAATGAGTCATGTTCATTTTCTAGTGGCGCCACCTATTGAAAAATCCCGGGACTTTTCAGCCCATGTAGTATAAACTGTAGGTAGGCCATCGGAAGCTCTTCCATATACGTCTGCAGGTTGAGTCCATGCGTTTGTCTTGTGATGAACATCATCTCCGAAATCAATCTTTTTATGTAGTGAGATTCCTCGTCCAATATTGCAACGTTGTCCGAGTCAAAATCATGTCCCTCTTGCAACCGATGTTCCGTTATAACATTGCGAGCAGACGTGTTCCATCTAATGTGGTTCTTATGTTCTGTGATTTCAGTTGTCTACACGTCTGTCCCACATAACTCGCGTTGCAACTCTTACACGAAACCTTACAAACCTTCGACTTTTTATCACGAGGTAAGGGGTCCTTGAGCACCCTAATAAATTCACTCAATTTATTAACACTACAAAACGATACTCTCATTTGCTCGCTATTTAATCTACTAAACTTCTCAGTAATACCACGAACGAAAGGGACAGTGAACCACGAAGGCTGCACTACATTAAAGCTATTATCACTAACATCATTCTTCCTATTACTAGCCATAATAATGTTCTTCAAATGGTTGTTAATGTTCTCAAATATAAAGCTCAAAGGATAATCATTCTCTAACAATACTTTAATTACGAAGCACAAATTATCAAAGTGGAATTTAGGATTCGAAAGCAAAGCCACCCTATCAACTAATCCCGCGATTGTACCTATTTTCTGAGAAACCGGGTGCTGTGACCAAAGGTTCAAATATCTACCCGAAAAGATTGGCTTGCGGTACCAATCGAATTCTATCAACTCATTATCTCTAATCACTGTTACATCCAAAAAATTCAATCTATCACCTCCCACTTCCATGCTGAACTGAAGCCTAGGATGTTGAGAATTAAAGATATCAAGAATGGAACTAACCGAAGAAACATGCGCTGCCATTATTATATTATCAACGTACGTATAGTAAAGGGGCAACGGAAACTGAATCAAAGACAAAGCTCTACTCTCCAACTTACGCATAACTAGATCCTCGATGACGGGAGACAACAGGGAGCCCATGGAAGTCCCGTAATTCTGCTTATAAATAACACTATCAAAAACAAAGAAAGTAGGATCTAAAATAAACTGAACCGCTTTGATGAATTCCTCCTTCGGTAAACAACAATCTCTAGAAATAAATCGCCAATGGTTTTGGATACAGTCCATCGCATAGTCAATGGGAACGTTCGTGAAGAGACTAACAACATCCAGTGACATTACCTGAAATTCATCACTCAACAGCCTACCATCAAGTTCCTTAACGAGTTTAAAACTATTATCGATATGACTATCCGCC